ATATATATATATATATATATATATATATATATATATATATATATATATATATATATATGATGTACATAAAGGATAAAAAAGGGTTAAGCTCTTGGCGTTGATCAATCCATGAGGGATGCGCCATGAAACCGACTTCATTAAGTATCATTAGAGATAACTGGATGTATATCTGGCCATTACAATGACTCGTGGTGGCCTACCGATGTATCGAGCCAGTGCTGCTATCGTCCCAGACAAGTCTGGTACCAATATGCTGATGCCGTAGGATGGAAGAATAGGTGAGGCACGGGCGCAGGCATCGATCGCATGTGTGTTTCGAAGGGCGCCTCCGACCACTGCGCCACACAGGCCCATGCTTTGGCATGCTGATGTATTAAGTAGGTGTTTCTACCTTTCCAAACAAATTTTCACTGATTCGCGGATTTTGAAGGCATAGAAGAAGCTGTTTACTGTGCTCAGTCGGACCAGCGATCCTATCCGTGTTTATATTACAGGCCACCTTCAACCACTGTACTGTAAATGCTTGAAATCTGCACCTGAAAGATTCATTGCATAGCTATTTCTGTAACACTTCAATATCCACTTAATCAAGAGGAATTCCATCGTTTTTCTGAGTCCTGCCTTCGTTCAAATATGCTTTAGTGAACGGGTGATGGTTTTTGTCAAGTCTTTCTTCCAGGTGTCATTATGAAACTCCCTTGGGCCGATTGTATGGATATGTTTGGATGCTACGATGTACGGTAAGTCGCGACGTTCTCATTGTAATCATTAGCCATTTGTCCAACGGGTACTTCTTTTTCAACATCAGATTGGCTGATCGGTGTACTTTTGCCTCTCCGAACGACACATTTTGTGCTGATTTCATCAAATCACTCGTGATAGGCCGGTCGAGCTACACAAAGGACACTCCGCTAGTCAGCTACCTCCATTCGCTTCTCAAAGAGGTTTCGTCTTCTGTTCTCCCAGAATTATTCAATTAAAATAATGCAAAATGCGTGGTACTCCACTCGTTAAATTAGGTATGACTAGTTCGACACTTCCTCAACTACCTTTTGTAACTGCACGAAATATTTCGAGATTCCATCAAATGAATAGCAACCTATTGAAATGAAGATCCATTCAAGGACAGATTTTGTCCTTGCGGAAGTTTAAACGCTGTAGGCACTCGGATATTATCATTCCCTTTGAAAAACCAAATGAACAGTAATTGACTTGCGGAATTGTAAGTAGGACGTGGTCTGTTGAACCTCAGTAAGACGTTCGTTACGACATCCATTTCGATTATGATGACAAAAACTATGCCCAATTTTCGCAGAATAGTACGCTGTGAACCCAGTTCACATGATCGAACCTACCTTTAGAGCAGAAACATCGCAAGAATCTTCCCATCGGCAACGACTTTCTGTAACATATCTGCATAGTGAGCAAGGAAATGGACATAAGCCTTATGGAGTACAATAAACTTGTCCTGTTAACAGAATGGTGTGTACCGTTATGATCAAAGTAGGCCACCAGGATGGACGACAATCAGAAGGAAAAGAAACGAGTGGAGAATGTGCTTGAAAATGCACACTAGTGAAGAGTGGTAATTAAAGTATCCAAGTTAAGCATAGAGCTATGACAAGCGGGAGTGTGTACGTTTTGATTTGTGAACGAGCTGATATACACATCGCCGACTACTGAATTTCCAATGTAGATGAGTTTTCTGATGATGTGCAGCACAGTCCTTTTGCGTAATAGAATTTCTGGATGCTTTCAACGCATTCATTACTCACCTTCTTTCCGCGGAATTTTTAATTCTGAAATCATTTACTAAGTATCCACGCCACATCTGGCCTTTCTGTCTTGTGAGCCTCGTGAAGGCGTTACTGTATCTGGTTGCCAAACTCCTTTAGTTCCACTTTGCTTAGAGTGGTAAAGAACCCATTGAAATGACTCTTTTGTAGAGGGATTCTTTCCTTTCTTGTATTCGTTTCGAGTTTTATACGAATGCCGTGTATATGGATCAAATCGGTCGCTGTTTGCACGACGTTCAAGCTAGAACCCTCACCAGAACCTGAATACTTGGATACTCGAATGGCCGGTTTTCACTGATTGTACGACCCCCAGCATAATCCCTCCGCTGTACATCGCGGCCGGATGCCCAGGAACATTTCTCAGCCATGATGAGGCGTAAACCGTTGGTAGACTCACCAGAACTATCACGTCAAATTTCTTGTAGAAATATGGTGTTGTCATGAAAGTACAAGAAAGTGGTGAGAAGTAGTTACCAGTTTAAAATACTTTTTACATAATTCAGGACCAGCCAATGAGTTCTGAGAATTTTATTCCACATCCATTATTAGTTGTTGTGCTACTTATGGTGTGGTTGATAGCGAACGTTGCTCAAAATGGAGGCGTTTACCTTTTGGGTAACACATCCTTCATTGTCATTCCTATTGCAGTGATCAGTTTGATCATGACTGTAACCACAGGTGAGTTCTGTTTTTTCGTCCAGAGCATGAAACCAAGTAGGTGAAGGAAGATGCAAATCCTTCACAGTATTAGGTGCTACTTTTTGCCGTACACAGTAGCTATTCTTACCTCATAAATACTTCTTAGCGTCCAAACGAACTTCTACAGATCGATCATTGTCCATATTATGTACAATGTTGCCACTTAAATGCGCGATTTAATATATTATGTTGTTTAGTCAATGTTGAAAGCGCTAAGATTGAAAGTAAACTGCGATCTGCCTACAGCAGAACAATGAAAAAAACAAATGTAAATTTCTCTCTTCGATGGCTTCCACTCAACTCAAATTAATCTGTTTGTCCAGTTTCTTCTAGAGGCTCGCGTGGTGTAGTGATTAGAGGCGCCGTGCAATACATACGCAGTCGCTGATACCCCACCTGACCGCGAGCTCACCAAGCCCTCCATTCTTCCGGGGTCACCAGTCTTGCCTAGGAGAGTAGCAACACTGACCCACTAGGTCACCGCACGTTATTGCATAGACCAGATATGCATCCAGTCTCCTCAAACGATGCTTGACGAAGTAAACTGCGTGAGACTTCCCTCATAAATTGATCAACGCCGTGAGCTTTATCCTTTATTTATCTTTTTATCCCGCTACCTTAGCTTGTTAGGATCCTTAGAATGTAAAGCAGATCGAGTCAGAGGACGCAAAAAACGATAGCTTTGCTTCGTTTCATTAGTTTCCTGTCAAATTTATACTTTCTAAGTTAGAAAATATTCAATGAATATCGTTATTTTAGCTATTGTGGTGGGTGACATTGCTGGATCATTGTATCATTTCTATCAGCATCGTTTCAACAAACTTTTAGAGGTGAAAGATTGGATAGTTGCTGCTGGACATGCAGTTTTCATTCTCAAGTGGGAGCTATCTTCAAGCGTAGTTCTATATGAAGTCGATATTTTCCTGTAAATTACTTTGCCATGTTTCACATAAAGTAAATCGTAATGCTGACTTTTTATTTACTGCCTTTTACTAGTTTTTACGGTAGGGTATTACTTGTGAAACAACCACGATGATGCTAAGATATTTGCAAAACTCCGGACCGCAGGAGTCTGCGGTGGGGAACGAATGCGTTATTGTCCTTTCCGGGGAGTAATGCGCTCACCACCACATCATGCGGGTCCTTCGTTTCGCATGTCTCTCTGTCTCTTATCAGTTCCGTAGACGGGTGACTGCTGATGGCAGTGATCGATAGAACTGACTGAGAGACAGGCGGAACGAAGGACCCGCATGGTGTAGTGGTGAACGCGTCAGCCTCCGGAAAAGGTAATAGCGTGTTTGTTCCCCCCGCAGGCACCTGCGGTCCATAGTTTTGCAGATATCTCAGCATCATTGTGGTAAATCGTAATGTTGAAGGCTTATGTTAAAATCTCACTGTTCGTTCTCACTGCAGCGTGTCAACCGGTGGAATGATCAAACTGGCGTCATCCCGACCATTCCATCTTCCGATTCTTCGTGATGTGATAACCATAGCAGTTGTCACGCTACTCTTTCATGCCGTTACCCTGTTATCCACCACAGCAATCATAGATGGCTATGCCGGTATGGTAACTCACATCCCTTCTTACCTACTGCAACCAATGCCTGAAACTTATTACCAGTTCGTTCTCCTTCTCAAAAAAAAACAAAACGACAAACAAACAAAAAAATCTTGTCCTAGCACGAGTCTACCCATATGATACTCACGACGAGCGCTTCGGTTATGTGACTGAACGTCGTTACCTGGTGATGGCTATTGTTGGAGAGGTATGGTGGTAATTTCGAACACTGGCATTCTTTGCAGTGATTTCGATTTGATTCCAGGCACTCGTGGGAGCAACTGGTGGCTGGATTCTGAATGCCTTGTACTTTTTAGGAATTGCCGTTGTACCGTTACAAAAACTCGTAAGTTTTCAATAGAAGGCTAAAAAAATATTCATAGCACAATTTTATACCCACGGCTTCTTTCTGACGTTGAATGAAGCAGCACTATTTTGATAAACGAACTTCAATCACAAGGTTACAATTGACATTTAAATGAGAGATTCATCAGAGACTTATCAGAGGAACGTTCTTAGACGTTCAGCAACTTTAAAATATCTAGAAGAGATGCTCCATGAGGCACGTAGAAAATGAGATGAAAGGCTGTACATCAAAAAGCCGACACCGTCTGTTTAAAAGCGTTTTGTGCTCACAGTGCTTGATTTTTATATCACGTGAGGATCGTGTCATAGAAGCCACACAGTGGAATGATTCGCTTCTTTCTACAAGTTCGATGATCACGAACTGGTAAGTGTGGACGGGCTGAGATCCCTGAGTACAGTCACCTACCCTTGATTATCGCGTTGATTGCATTTATATCGATGATCATCTCGGTTTACGACTCTTACTGTTCATAATATTTCATACCTTTTGCATTCGATTTAATAGCTGGTTCCTCAGATTTCTAGAGAGATCTGGGGCATATTTATTGCAGCTCCGAATACACACGTCATCCTTGTGTCGATCCCAGTTCCCCGCCAAACAGCCCTCTCCACATCCATCCATGGTCAACGCATTGTTAACCAGACTTGTGCGGAAGGGTGAAAACACTGGCTTGATGCATTGCTAGGTCGCAGCAACTCATTATATAAGTAAAATGTGAATTCTGTCATCTTTTCGGTGCTTAACATGTGACGGACGGTGCGCATTCTGTACAATCATATGCAGCGCCTCAAGTGGCCGATGTGAGCTATATTGTAGCAATTTTCTTTCTGATTATTCATTTTGGTGAACATAAACTTTTTCACACTTTTTAAAATTATCCGACACTAAATTCTCCAACGGGGTGTTGTGGAGAGCCTCGGATGTGAAAGCGCTGTTCCATGTTTAGAAATGTACGATAAACTTTTCCTAAGCTACATTCTCGAAAGTTAATTGGGCGTAAAACCAACTGTTATTTCAATTCTTACCGCTACTAGGAATCATAGTTATTGCGTAGAATGTACGGGTATAAAGAATACCGAAATAGAGATAGCATAACTTGCAAAACGTTTCCAAATGCCGACAACAATGGACTAGTTGGAATGACCATGCTAACATATGGTTAATATTTTTTAAAGCCGATCCTCATTTAACCCCGGCAAAGGAACGTGATATCTCCTTAAATAATTAAGCCAACATGGAGTTGTTACAAAGGTTTTATTCGGCTAAAGTTCCGACGCCTCGCTTTCTTCAGTGGCGGGATGGTCCCAGTCGATAATAAATGCACAGCTGGTTGGTGGTCGTGATGTGGATGCTTCTTGTCGAACGGGGTGAAACGTTCACAAATAGAACACTGCTCGAAGAAAGCATCCTTACTTGGAAGGATCCTTTTATACAGATAGCTGCTGATGTAATGCCATCTGATGTGATCTGCTCTTTTCAACGGTACTGTGTCCTGCAGTGATCGATACTATAATAGGTAGGATATACTGAAACAACCTCGTGTTGGGTTAATAATTTGAAAATATGTAGCAAATAGTGGCATACATGCCAAAGTCTTATCGACAATCCTATCGTGCTCTTAGTTCTCGAGTTGTCAAAAAACTAGCATCCATTTTTGGAAAGCTGCGCCCACATCGGCTGGAAATTAGGCGTTGTACCATGCCGTATGAAAGCTAAAAACCGTTGTCTCCAGTGGAGTCCAGCACGCTCTGGTTAGAAACATAGGCTTCAATGACTTCTTGACAATCGAAATCAAACATCATTGAATACTTTATTGACATACTAACAATGAAATAATGTATATAGTTGACGACAAGGAAAATGAGAACTGTATATGGGAATGTAGTAATGCAAAACAAAAATAAAAGATAAAGGGTAAAGTACTCGGTGTCCATCAATCCCTGAGGGATGCATCATACGTTCGACTTCAGTAAGCATCGTTAGGCGTGATTGAATGCATATCTGGCCTATAAAGTAACTTGTGGTGGGCTATCGATACATAAAGTTAGCGCTACTATCTTCCCAGACAACGCTAGCAAGTACCATTTTGCTGAACCCGACGAGATAGCGGGTTGGTGAGCCCAGAGAGTTGGATCGAAACCATGATTGACCATACGTGTATTGCAGTGCATCTCTAACCACTGTGATAATGCAGAATGGTTCCAGAATACATCCAACTCTTTACAGAATACACATGGGTTCCAAAATGTAATTAACTACGTGCCAAATTAGGGTTGAAAAGGTATGTGTAAGATTGATTGTGAGATTGCCGAGGTGTGCAACGGACCTCGAAAACTGTAGTTAGTGCTCTCGTCAGTCGTTTGTAAGGAAACACACTAATTGTATGAGATAGGAAATTCCTTCGTTGTCAAGACAAAGCATCTCTAACTATGGGTATTTGCCAGAAGGCTATTGGCTCTTGCAGCTACATCAGTTTGCTATATCCTTTAAGTGGAAAGAAAGGGATATGAGTAGTCTTTTACAGACGCCTCCATAATTTTCTAGCGATGATTTCATAAACTGCTGAACTGCTATTGCGTCTTATGGGTATTCTATATTGTATTAAACAACTGGATAGTAATGACCGAAGAACTTTTAGGCAACAGACCTCTGGGTAGTGGTGTCAATGCTCCGCGAAAAGTACAACGAGGCGTTCCAGGAGCACTTAAACCGACGGCAACTTAATATCGCCAGTTCTCTGATTGTTATCTTTGGATTTATCGTCAACTTACCCTTCATTATGTCTGGTTGGTGACCATGATACCACTTTGAAAAAGTGTTGGGCAAAGCTCAAGAGTTTGGTAGCGGGGCTCGCGAGTGAGCAACTTCAAAGAAGCAGCCGCATCTCTATGAAACATGCAAATTGGTGCCAGTCACATTTATAGACAGCTTTTTATTTCCTACCAAATTGTGCAGCTAGGTAATAAGAGGATTTGTCGGCAAATAAAAGATTTATGACGACCTACCATAGAAATAACTCGGTTACTTACTTAGTTAAACACTTGGGTGGCACGTCCTCACTGGTTGTGTGTTCCTCGGCATAATCTCCACGTTTTCAGAGTTTTGCTGGTTTAGCCACTGTGATTCTTTGCAGTCCCGAGGTTAGCCAGGATAAAGTCTGCCCTAAGTCGTCACCACCACAGGCAGTCGCCGCGCTTCTGGATTAGAGGAAGATTTGCCACCATGCGGCTAATTTGATACTAGGACGGTGGTGGTTCCTGGTATTGGTTTACTGTTAGTTCGGCTTCGTAATGGAAACGCCGGACTCCTTCCCAGTTTTGGAGACCCTTCCAGGGGATGAATCTCCACGCTGTACGTCGCAGGCCGACACCGAGGAACACCTCCCAGCCACAATGAGACGGTGAACCGTTGGGAGGATGACTGGGTTAGGAAAGAGAAAAAACATTGTAATATTATAAAACGACCAAATTCAAATAATGGAACGAAATTATTTAAAGATCTCTATGGGGTATATAAATAAAGTGACTGCATTTAACAATTTCACCCCCGTGTTGTAATTTTTATTTGTTGCCTTGATGAAGAACTTTGCCAGCAAACTTCTCTACTCCTTTCATCCATCGCGCGCCACGTTTGGACCGCAAGATCTATTCGGCCAATAGATCTGAAAAGTATAACGTTTTTCTTCTAACACTTTTTCAAAAAAGTCAAACCGTCTGGTCGGTTGTTGTCGTGTTCGCTTTACATCAGGTGGGGTTCAATTGTTGTTCAATAATCATCGTAAGAGACCAGACATCTCAGTATAAGTCTGATGTTCGACAGCTTGACGCACGTGCTAGATGTATGTAACCGATTGAAAAAAGCCATCTGAAGAACATTGCATACTCGTATGATTTCTATTCACCCATTGTTCTCGTAGTCTTACTGAGAATATCAATAGTAAAGAATTGTGAACGGCAGCCATTGGGAAAACTGTGTGGTAGGTGTCGATGACTGCCACTTGTTGCAACGACACAATCATGATGGGAGTAGTAGTTGTTCTGTAGGGGCGCAGGACAGCGACCATCTTAATCTTGTTGTTGGCAGAGTTACGAATGCCGCTGCGAATGCTCTTCTCACCGTCTGCAGTTTCAGCCATTGTTACTGTTCTTCTCTATTCAATGCCTTTTCTTACACGACTTTTCTTCAGAGTTTCGCGTGTTCGAACACGAGTTGGCGATTGCCTGCGGCTTATGCGATTCCATGTCGGCGCTTTGGCTTGAATGTTCGTGGAGACAGCCTCCCTTGGTTACTTTCGAATCGTCGGCCTTCATAGCACTTAAATACAAATTTTGAATAAGTCGGTCATATTTCTCATGGATGTTGTCTACAAAGACATTCCGAGAATAATCTGAGCAAATCTCCAGTTTATGATGGTTTTGGACTTCGCGTCTGAAATTTACCAGCATTCTTTCCATTCTGCAGAAGAAAGGAGAATCCTCGCGCTCTTCAACATTAGTTAAGCAAAGCCCGAATTAGCTAAAATGTGTTGTATTTTATTGCGGTATCTTCTAGCAACAGACTCCCGTAACGTTGAAGGATTGTTTTTCGAAATACGTATGAGGTACCAATACAGGTCTTTTTCATCATAATGAACAAGAACCGCTCACCCCTTCCATTTTATTCCCGTAGGCCTCGGTGGGAAGTTTTTCAGACGCCATAATTGTATAATACATGCCGTCGAAATCACATTTGGCACTAGTAATAACCTTATTGATCACTGGTTAACTGGAGTTAACACCGATAATTTTATTGGTCTCCAGTAGTTCGGGTTTCGTCAGCTGTTCAATGGGCTTCACTTTCTTAAGCGATATGAAAAACATACGTCTTGCCAAAAGGCCTTGTTTCCTTCATGCCTTCATTAATATTCATGGAGGAAAATTGGCGACAGCTCGCGATTTTGGTTCAAACGCTTGCTTCAGGGTTCCAAATGAAATGCTTTTCGTTTTGAACACTATTATAGGGATGAAACACAAAGGCTTACACAAAGAGCTTACAAAAAACTTGAAATAATAGTCGTCAAAATGGAAGAACAATCGGCCAATGAGGAGGCAGTGAAGCCGCGCAACAAACGTTGGCTGTGTGCACTTCCTAGATGTACATTGTTTTTCCCATAGGTTTATAAAACTGAGGAAAAATCCTAATTGCTAACGGGGAATTGTTCTCAATTCCGAAAGGTTGACGTCAAACTATTCACATTTCTAACTTGAATAACTGGTATTTTCTGTAATTATATGAAACGATCAATAGGTAATCCCAAGCTCTGTGAATTAACTCAGCTTGAGCGAATCTTAATTCAAGACTTCCAGGTGGTTTCGCACGATCGCAGCTTATCCTGAAGGCAACATTGCAGAACACACTTGCCATCGGTTTCCTACAACTCGTTACCGTCGCCTATATCTACGGTTTCCGACGATTTACAGTGTAAGTGCGCGCTATCACCTGGATCACCTGTAGTCTCGTTGATCGTCGAGTGACTCGAGCGAGCGCTAGTAAATCTTCCATTTCTCCCTGTCGCGTACAGGAGTAGCCCAGTGGGTTCTGCTAGCTCTAGAAACTTTCTGAGCATCATATTTTTCTTCAAGGCTCTTTGTGAAGAACTCTAACCATCGGATCGGTGGTCTTCCTGCAATACATTTGACATCCCGAGGAATCCAGTTACTAACGGCTCCTGTCCATCGGTTGTCATTCATAGGCACTACGTGCCCGGCCCACCTTATCTTCGACTGTTTGGCGTACAGAACAGCATCTTTGATTTTTGAACGTTAACACAGATCGGAGCCTCGGATCCCATCCCTTACTTGTGTGGAACGGGAAACTCCTAGCATCGCTCTTTCGACTGCGCGTTCGATAACGCTGAGTGACCTCTCATTCTGCTTACGCAGCGACCAGGTTTCTGACGCATACGTTAGGGCAAGAAGTACTGTTGAGTCGAAAGGGTGGGCACGGAGCCGGGTGTTCTTTGTTCTTTTCACTACATCCTCGATACTCTTGAAAGCTCCCCAAGCCGCTCGTTTCCTTCTGCTCAGCTCTGGAACTAGGTCGTTAATCACATTGATTTCCCTACCTAGATAGAAATAGCTGGAGCATTCAGAGAGATATTCGTTCCGTTGAGCGTGAATGGAGCATGCGAAACCAATCCGTTCTTCATGAACATCGTTTTTGTGAGATTTAGTCGAACACCAATCTTTCCACAGGCTTTATCAAAGTTGTCAAGCATACGTTTCGCTTGGCTAATGTTTGGTGTTATAAGGACGATGTCAACAGCAAAGCTAAGATGGTGTAACTGCCGACCGTCAATTTTCACTCCCATACTATCCCATTCCAATGTTAGCATGACGTTCTGAAGGGTGGCGGTAAATAATTTTGGCGAGATGGTGTCGCCTTGTCTAACTCCTCTCTTGACGTCAATGTTAATATCGTTGTAGAATGGTTATATCTTGGTTGTGAAATTTTTGTACAGCTCACCGTACGAATAATCTTTATGAACTGAGTAGGGACTCCTCGACTATCAAGGGCTTCCCAGACTGCTTCCATCTCAACTGAACCAAAGGCCTTCTGTAAATCGATGAAAGTGAGACAGAGCGGTCTTTCGTACTCTCACGATACTTCAATGAGCCGCGTTACCGTGCGGATGTGGTCCATCGTACTAAATCCTCTTCGAAACCCTGCTTGCTCACACGGCTGTCCTTCGTCTAGTGTTCCGTCAATCCTGTTTAGGATGACTCGAGTGAAAAGTTTGTAGACGACAGACAGTGAGCAGATTGGACGATAGTTGCCTATATCGTGCAGGTCACCCTTCTTGAACAATAACACGGTCTTGCTGGTCTTCCACTGAGTAGGGACCTGGCATTCAGACAGATAACGTGTGAAGAGCCGAGCCAGTGTGTTTACGAGGACTGGCGGAAGGTTCTTCAGGTGTTCTGGTCTTATTTTGACCGGACCTGGTGCTGTTCGATTTTTCACCGACGAAGTGGCATGTCGGATTTCGGAAGGGAGAACCAGTGGTGCAACATATCCATCCTCCTTTATTTCATATGACGGAAGGTGGACGTGGCTATCGAAGAGATCCGAGTAATATTCATGAATGATTTTCTCTATTGCCTTTTTGGACGCTGTAACTGTTCCGTCTGGGCGCCGGAGAGCAATCGTTTTGGTCTTGTAATTGGCGAAGCTTCGGTGGGCTTTGAGAATGCTTTTCCCAGTCTCTGCAGCTTCGACCATCACTGCTGCTCTTCTCTCTTTAAGATCTTGTTTTATCGCCTGTCTGCATTGCTTTGCGATTTCGGACGTTAGTTCGCGGTTGCCTGCAACTCGTGCGATTCCACGCTGGCGTGTGAGTTCTAGTGTTTCAGGAGACAGACATCTCTTGGTGACTTTCGTACTCTCAGCTTTCATAGCGCTAATGTGAAGATGTTGAATGAGCCGATCGTTCTCTTCGTCGATGTTATCGACAACGGCATCCTCCCAACAGCCGACTAACGAAATGAATAAGTCTCAGTTTGCGGTGGTTCTGGGACTTCGGTTTTTAGAATTTAGCGGCTTTTCTCCTTTCTGCGAGAAATAGAATGTTGCACAAAGGAGACGATGGTCTGATCCCGTGTAGAATTTCGGAACAACAGCGACATCGGTTAGACAAAGCCTATTTACTATGATGTTGTCTATTTCGTTATGGTACTCTCCATTGAGAGACTCCCACGTCCAGCGCTGAGAGTGGGGCTTCTGGAATTGCGAATTACCATGGATTGTCTTGGTCGC